GGGAAAAGTACGGGAAAGATACTTATGGTTGGCCCCGTTTTCAGATAGGGTCATGTGTTTCATTCTTTATCAAAGTGATTCATCTGTTTGAATTCCGTTATCACAAGAGAGTCATGCCGATAAAAACGTCTGAAAAAGACCGTTAAAAGTAACTTCGATTTTCAAAAGTGCCCGAAAAATTAAAAGAAAAATACCGAAAGTTACGCCTCATCAAGATGACCTCCAAACCAGCTTCACCTTTGGATTTTTCAGATCTGTTTGAATTATTTCTTTAAAATGATTTCGCTAATATCACTTTTCAGACGGACTTTCCGGTGACAAGGGTGGCTGAAAACAAAAAAGAAAGATGGCCTAGCGGTCGTCTTATTGAGGTGCACCTTCCAGTATTTTTGTTTAATTTTTCGGCCACTTTTGAAAATCGGAGTTACTTTTAATTGTCTTTTTCGGACGTTTTTAACGGTGTGACGCTGTTGTGATAACGGAATTCAAACACATGAACCACTTTGATAAAGAATGAAACACATGACTCTATATGAGAACGGGCTCAACCACAAGTACCTTTTCCGTAATTTTTCCTAATTTTTATTATATTCTAATTTAGATTTCACGATTTTATGAAACTTTCATTGTAGTTTAAAATATGTAAATTTTAATTACTAAATTTAGATTTAACATTATCATGGATCGACATTAAACCCCGCAATTAGAAATGACTTGAAAATTTATCATTAGTTAATTTTAAATTCATGCATAAACAAATCTGAAATCAAATAATTAATTATATTAGGGAAAAGTCTGTAAGTACTACCCTAAGTAATTTATAAAATTTTTCTTTCATCAAAAGTTCTCACTAAAATATAACTAAGTAACGTACTTGTTAAGTTTAATTATATTAGATGATAATACTCCATATTAAATACTAGCTATACCAAAATATGAAAAGTATATGAGGGCATAGAGCAAAAATACTCATTGTTTAAAATTAAAAATCTACTTAAATCCTTTAAGTAAATGTTATAAATCATGACCACTATTTTATAATATTTATATTCCACTTTACATAATAATATATGTTTGAACAACTTATATGAGTAGTTAATATAGAGATTATAATTATTTTGCTGCAATGGTTGTAAAATTAATAGTGTATAATTGTAAATGTAATACTTTTGGTAGTAGCACAACCATATCGAAGGTAATGAAAGTCAAAACTATATATTTGTATTTTGTAGGCTAACCCGCATCCCATGTGAGCCAACCCACTTAACCCGCAACCCACAAGGATTGGCCCGTGCAACCTACAAATTAATCGGGTCTGAAAACGATAACGGCAATCCGGCCACTCATAAATGGGTTGAAATTGAGCACCCCGCGTGTTTCGGCCCATCTTTTTGGAAGATTGGGTTGAGAGAGTCGCACAATAACCCACAATCTTTCACTATTACACATGAATTTTAATATATGGAAATGTTGAGAGGATACGTTCTTAGTAAAAATATCCGTCAATATGAGATCGAAAAGGCTCCGCCAGTGCAAACATTCATCAACCACGAGATATTGCGATATGACAACAATATTTCTCCATTTCTCGACTACTAATTATTGCCATTTTTGTTTTTATACATGCATTAACAAGAGGTCAAGTAATTAACATTTATGGATAATGTAATCTATCATTTCCAAAATCTTGGTACAATTTATACATATGTGATGTGTCTAGTTCGTAGCAACGGAATAAAAATGATATGATATGGTATAAAATATCATTGCCGATCCCCCTTTTGCAAATGAAGTGAATATATTGCGGCCATGATACACAAACACAAGCCATGTTAGCTGAGTTAGAGTTGTATGGAAACATAAAGTACTTTGGAATATACCCAATGATTTACAAAGAACTGGATGGTGAATAATGGATGGGAAAATGAGAGGAAGTTTCTCAAGCTGCATATAGACAAAGAACTGGAGTAAAGGTATCAAATGAAATTATCCTTTTCCTGTAAAAAGGGAGTCAAGTTATTGCAATAAAAACTCTTCAAGGGTCCATTGTGTCTTGATGAAATATGGCTTTGGCGTCATACCAACACATTGAGGCAGGTTTCTTACTCACTCCCCACAACTCCACATGCTTCTGTTTTTTTATTCCTTTCTCTATATATCTTTATTTTCTAATTACAGTACACACACTCTATCCTAGCTACCTAGCTATCCGCTACCATTAGCTTCATATTTTATTTTTTAATAATATTATAATAACTTTGAAAGAAGTTGTCTTAAATTGAAGTAAATATGTTTGTGAATTCCGACATATAATTATTTTTAATTAATTTAACATGGTAGTATTTTCCAATTTTGATCATAAGTACTCCTAATTTTTCTCATTTATTATAAAAACTATACTACCTCCGTCCCATAATACTCAACCAACTTTCCTTTTTTGGCCGTCCCAAAATACTTTGTCATTTCCATTTAAAGTAACAAATATGTGGCTAAAGTTATTTCTCTCTCCTCTACACCAATATCAACCACACAGTAATTAATCTACGTGCAAGTCAACATTGACTAAGTATTATGGGACAGAGGGAGTATTATTTTGTAACATGGAGAGATACTTCTGAATACTTTATTATACGGAGTAGTACAGATCTGAAATGCGAATAACAATTATCCGAAAATAGGAGTAAGAATAATACTACCTCCGTCAGATTTTAGTTAGTCATCTTTCACTTTTCAAGTCAAAGATGGTAAACATTGACCAATTATTTGAACTAATATATGTATGCAAAATTTAATAATTCTACATTATTTTATGATAGTATTTTTGACAAATAACATTTTCATATTAATTTCATATTATCAAAAGTTCTGTATATAAATATATAATCAGTCAAAGTTAGATACCATTTATTCAAAGTAAAAGTTTGACTAACCAAAAAGGGACGGAGGGAGTATTATTTTCCCAAATAGGAATACTAATTTTTTGCTCCAATAGAATTAGTGATTGTCATCGTGAAAGATATTGTCATTTTATATAATTAATACCAACATATTAATGTGATGGAGTATATGGCCCAGGGACCCCCGGCCCACATACTTCCTCTACTACAATCAGGCCCAACAGGCCCAAACGGGTCAAGCCCAGAAAAATGGAGCTCGATCTAAGCAGCCCACAATACGCAAAGGGGTGCCTTCGGCCCCATGGCCGAAGGCTACCAGTGACGGAATCGAGCTCAGAAACATCACAGGAGAACAAGGCTTGAAAACCAAGCCTTCGGCAACTACAGTCCTCGGCAGGTAGGAGCCCTCGGTTAGAAGAGGCATCACAGGAGAACAAGACTTGAAAACTAAGCCTTCGGCAACTGCAGCCCTCGGCAGGTAGGAGCCCTCGATTAGAAGAGGCATCACAGGAGAACAAGGCTTGAAAACTAAGCCTTCGGCAACTGCAGCCCTCGGCAGGTAGGAGCCCTCGGTTAGAAGAGGCATCACAGGAGAACAAGACTTGAAAACCAAGCCTTCAGCAACAGCACCCTTCAGCCGAAGGCATCCATCTCGACAGAATATCCTCTTCACATGCGTCTGGATCACCGTACCGAGTACAAACGTCACATCCAACCACCGCATTTAATGCGGCCACATGCGAGTGCCAGTGCCACCCCGATCGAGGTGACCCCTCGACCACCAGAAAACTGACACGTGTCCTTATCTAGCATTTATTACTACTATAAATAGCACCCCTTTCTCCCATTGTAAACCACGCTTGATACATATCGAATATACACTCTCTCTCTTACTTGTTTGCTCTGACTTCTCTCTAGTTATTCTCCGCAATAACCCCTCGGATAAACTACCCCCGGGTACACTATCCATCATAATGCTTGATAATATAATAGTTCATTTGTTTTTTTTAATTGTAACAGTCCATTTTTCACGTTTGCCAACACGCAAGTTTGACCGTTAATATCTTTCATTACTTATTAGTAAAAAAAATTAAAAATTCAGATTTTGAAAATTTAAAATTAGAAGAATAATTTAACAATATTTTTTAAAAGTTTAATTTATAATACTTTAATAAATAAAATATACTCAAAGTAGAATATGTGAACATTGCAAAAAGTCCAATATTGCAATTAAAAGAGAATGAAGTTAGTACTTTATTACTAGTTAGAGACTCGGAGAGAGGGAAATTGTATACTCTCAATTAGCAACATTACCCTGTTTTAGTCTCTTTCTTATGAATTATACCAATGTTAAACAATTATACTTCCTACATTTTATAAAGATATATGATCTTAAATATTATTCTCTATTTCCCTTAAAATTTTGTCGACTTTTTTTCCATTGTCGCACTAACTTTGTCACTTTTTATTTTAAGTAAAGAATTTGTAATTACACTTAATTTCCTTTCTTTTGCATAAACTTGATCATTTTTAGGCCAGGGACAAAGAGAGTGGTAGTCAAACGTAGTTGATCTGAGACTAAAAGGGTTTAATGCACCAAATCCCCATTGTGATATAAAAATCCGGCGCATTAACCCCCTGTGATTTAAAAAATGCGTCAAACTCCATTGTGTTTTAAATAATTATGCGCAAAATCCATTCTATGAACAAATTCAATTGTCAAATATAAGAAAAATGATTAACATTTTTGTATGATTTAGAGATTTTGACATATTTACTTGCATATTCAATCAGAATATTAAGAAAAGTGATCTCAAAATCATTAAATTTAGTCATAAAAGGGGTTCTGTGCATGATTAATTAAAACACAAGGGGGTTTGACGCATTTTTCGAATTACAGTGAGCTAATGCGGTGAATTTCTATATCACGAGGAGGTTTGGTGAATTAAACCCGAGACTAAAAACATCAACTTATAACTTTGAGAGAGAGTAGTATATGGATTATGCGGAGTATATATATACTATCTATATGTGTATATGTATATATAATTATATATACATGCATATATACATAAATACATCAATATATTCTTTACACGTCATCATAAATCAAATCCATATTATTCCTTGTATAATAATGTGTATATATAGCCATCAAACCTCCACTCATTCCCACAACTACTACGCAGCTATACATACACAATACACCTCATCTTCTTCATCATCATCAAGAACCTCCACTTCTTAATTACTTCATTATCTAAAAATACATATATATCTCCTCATCCTCATCCTCATCGATCTATATATCTGAATCTACGCAATTACTTGCTCGAGCTGAGATCAGAAAAGGAAATGGGGATTAGCAGGAAATCGAAGAAGCTGACATCCCAAACCGCAATGATAAAGCAGATTCTGAAGAAACTGGGGAAGAGAGACGGGTACGATGAAGAAGGGCTTCCGATGGATGTCCCAAAGGGACATTTCGCGGTCTACGTTGGAGAGAACCGGACGAGGTACATTGTTCCCATCTCCTTCTTGGGCCAGCCCGAGTTCCAGATCCTCCTTCAACGGGCCGAGGAAGAGTTCGGGTTTGACCACGACATGGGGTTGACCATTCCTTGCGACGAATACGTCTTCGAAAGTCTTACTTCCGCTCTCATCATTAGGTAGTTTAATTAGTTTAATTGATTGATTAATTGCCTAAGCTGAGACGGTTAGCCACATCAGCAGCCAGCTGGCTTAGAAGCGGCATGAGCATGGATGAAGTATAGAAGGTCCAGCTGTACGTACAAGCACTTACAGCACCGTACGCCGTCGAGATTTATTAATTATGGCTAGAGAGGGCTTTATTGTGATCTAACTTAATTAAAGCGGGTCGGGTCGGGTCGGAGAAGGATGGATTAATGGAGATTACTATGGTCTTTGATTGATTAATTGTTGCAAATTAAAGCTTAGAATCTCCTTGCAGTGGTGGGTGGTTGTAACTATATGTGCCCTGCTAGGGCCGATTGAGCGGGAGATTATTTAATCGTTGGAATTGTGTATTTTATAAAGTCTAATAAAATTGAATTCTAGTTTAGTTTTTGTGGTGGAGTTTGTTGATAAATTAAATATTGTTGGGTGTTACGGTTGTACCTTTTCGTTTTAATTGATGGTCTTGACTGGTCGATTTCAATTACATTAAATGAACTTCAATGTCTTATTCATCATTTAAGGGTAAAAAAAATTTAACAAGCTTAAGGACACTTTGATATACGAAGTACGGTATAAAGTAGTGATTCAGGAATCCCAATAATTATTGTTAATTATTGGGTTTTTGTACAATTGAAATATAAATTATATTGAAATACTTGAATTTATTGATTTAGTAATAGTTTCTCGAAAAAAATAGTAATTGTTCAAAACAAAGTACCGGAATTACCCTAAATAGAAGTAAAACAGGTGTGTTACAGTTTTCCATAAATATGAGAAAATATATATTGACATAATATTGACTTTGTTATTCCAAATCTGGAGAGTAAAAACTAGAAAGTGCGTGTTTAGAGAAGTAAAACATAAGAAAGAGATCAAAACTAGACTTTGGTATATTTTTCGTCCCAAAATAAGACTTTTTTATTCTATTAAAACAACAAGAGAATAAAAACTTCCCTAAAGAGTAGTGGATGAGTTGTTGTTTGGAAGAAAACAAGTGTACTTCTATTTGAGAAAATTGTCATCTTTTACTTTTAGTTAGAGAATTTTCTCTTTTGGGAAAGGTAGGTGTCAGGATTAGAGTAAAGTTTGCACATGGCAGAGAAAAAGAGATGCATACAAATCAATAAATAATACAGAGTAATTTAATTATAAGAAATAAGTATTGTTATATAATTATAACATAAACCATATACACACTCAAGACTAAATATTATTTTTACTACAACCATACCACTTATTTACTCCTAATAAGATTTAGATCAGAAAAGCATTAAAGATAGAGTGATGAAGTATATGACTCCGGAGTCACGATCCTCATACTCACTAGACATGTGTATCGGCCCAACTTACTAAATGCACCCTCGTTTGAGCCCCTCGAGTGGGCTCCTTGAGTTATGTTTATTAGTCTTACTTATGTAAGGAGTTTATCATTTTTCAACATATTTTGATTATTTTTTCTCGGAAGTATCACACATATATAGTGATGCACATTTCACTATATATTATGGAAAAGTAACAATGGAAGATGTCCAAAAAAGCAAACTATAATTCTAAAATAGGTATGCTATATTTTTCTTCTCAAAATAGGGGTTATTACTGTTGAAAAATATTGTCAAGATTAAAAATATTGATATTTATGATAGTAAATACTGTCATGTTTAATGCCTAGTACTGTAACTATTTGATAGTAATGACTACAAGATAACAATAAATATTGCTATATTACTCCTATTATCGAGAAGAAAAATATAGCATCTAATCCTATTTTGAAGTACAAAACCTATATATTTCCATTTCGAGAACTTTCCCTAATATATATCATGCATACGTGATACGCCATAGAAATGTTCTCAATCAATGAAATCATTATAATTCAATGGTGTTAGTTTGAAAATGGGAAATCAAAATACTAATACATGTAGACGGGAAAAATGGTTCCATAATTTATTACGGAGTAATAAATAAATAAAGCAATAAAGCAACTAATCTGACACAATAAACCGTATGAGCTGAGCTGACTAGTCAGAAGTTAATAATGAAGTGGACAAAAAAATGGGAGTAAATAAAAAAGAATCTAAAATTGGTCTTCTACGCACTTTTTTCTACGTCATTGAAGCCCAACCCCAAGGCCCCCGTCCTGTGAGCAGGTTAATCAAGATGATTCAATCAGCAAAGCGGCAGTAGGTCTTTACCCGTGCGCACCAGAGGGTCAACCTTATTTCAGGTTCTGAAAACCCCCTTTTGGTCGTTGTGGGATTCGAATCTTGGTCTACGTCTAATTTTTCCCATCGCTCGACCAACTGAGCTACCCGTGCGGGTACACACTTTTTTCTACATTATCTTACACATGTTTGTGATCGGTTACCTTTTGTCACGAACATATGTAAGATAGCGTGTACAAAAAAGTGTGTAGAAATAAATAGTTGGAGTATAAGTAATGGATAACATAATGGAATGGAATAGATAGTTTAAGTATAGTACGTAGGTACGTACAAGGATTGAAGGAAGAGGTAGCGGACATGAAATAAAGAAGCGGGCAGGCAGGGCGGGTAAAGGGCGATGGGCGGATAGAGAACATTTGGGACAGGTTCACATGATGCCAGCCCACTGCGTGGGACTTGATCGACCATCTCATCATCCCTACCTCTTTGCTACCTCTGCAAGGTCATGTAAGGTGAGGTAGGCAGGCAATCACAATGTGCAAAACTGCAAATGCAGCCACGCACCTCTCATTTTTGCAAGTACACTCCCTGACTCCCTTACTTTCCCATGTTTTCTTTACTCTACTGCCATCACGTACCCGCTCACTTATAAGTAGTAGTAATAAATACCCGGGACACTCACCCGCACAGGTAGATCAACGGTTGCTAAGCAATTCTCTTGGGTCGAGGTCTTGAGTCGATTCCACGAAGCGGTAGTGTGAAAGTTTTATTCAATGTAGTGAATCCTTGTGCGCATCAAACCCGGAGCCACTAGACTCAGAAAATATTTGAGATCACATTGTGGGTGAGCCCTAAAATGGATGATCTCACCCTCTTGGGTCGAGGTCTTGAGTCGATTCCTAAATAAACTTTTTACTTTCCTTTTTAGTCCGTTTCAATTAAATTTCCACTTTCCCTTTTTGATAAAGAATTTGTGGTTCACAACATTTCTTACACATTTCTCTCTCTTCTGCACAACTCTCCACCATACAATACCCACTTTTCTTAAATTGTGTGCCAAAGTGGGTTGGAAGATAAAATAGGAACGGAGGTAGTACCTTTTATAGAGAGGTATTAGGAATTTGTGACTTAAAGACTACAAGTACAAAGTAGGTCCGGGATCGATTCGATTCATAGACAAAATATATACAACCGTATGGAAAATATCAAATCTTAATCATGGTTCGGTTCTTATTATTTTTTTATAGAAGCGATACAGAACTGAACCATTCTTAACGATTCAGTTATTGTCATTTTACAATTAGTTTATACTCCCGCCGGTCCTAAATAAACTTCACTTTCCTTTTTGGGTAGGTCCAAAATAAACTTCATTCACACTTCTTCTCCCTTCCTTATTTGGAAAATTATCTACATCAAAACAGTGTGAAACCGTGCCAAACAGTGTCAAACAGTGTCGCAACAGGACACTCTACAGTAAAGTCAAATTTATTTCCATAATTTGTGTGAAGTCAAAGTGTGGAGTTTATTTAGGACCGGAGAGAGTAGTTTTTAAAAAAATCATACAAATCACTATTAAATTTGTGCAAAAAACACATTCAACGTTTGAAATTACAAGAAATACAAATTCGGTTTTCGGGAATTAAACGAGGTTTAATACGTACACGTTTTGTTCGGTAACATTACTGAAAAAAGCGGTCAAAATTTCGTTGAGAAAAACGTTGACTTTTAAAAAACGTGTAAATACGTATACGTGTATAATACGGTATTTGTTACAAAAATTCGGACAAAAAATACGGGTATTATTTTGAACATTTAAATTATATACTTCACAAAATTAACATATATAGTAAAAAGAAATAAAAGTATACGCATATTCAAGTAGCAAATCCCATTACTACATCAAAGAATAATTCGTGATTGCATAAGTTGATGATAAAAATAAAAATAGTAATTAAGTTCAAGACATGCTTTTGCAAACTAATGTCAACAAATAAGACATAAAAAAATATAATGGGACTAAGTTAAAATCATTATCTTTATATGTTCATCAAACAACACTCAATTTAAATTAATCTTTTCATCAAGATGATATATGACATATGAGAAAAATTGTGCGACTGTTACACGCGCTTATTATTGTTTATTTGTAAAACTTTATACTAAAAAATGTGAGGTTTAGAAAAACTTTAATTTTGACATGCTTGTTTGAAAAAACATCAGAAATCTAGTACATACGGAGTAGTATTTTAAGTTTTAGTCTTTTAGGGTGTTAGCTTTAACCGGCATGCAATTAATTTTATTATTTAATAGTTGTATTTTAACAATATAAAAACATGGGGTCACATAGGAGAGCTTTTTTGCTTTTAAACTATTATTGATCTCATATGCATTTAATGCATTAATTCAATTCATCAATTCATGTTTTTATTATTTGTAAAATATAGGATGCTAGCTTTAGCAGCCATGCAATTAATTTTAGTATTTATTAATTGTATTGTAACAATACAAAAACAAGGGGTCACGGAGAGGAGCTTTTCTTTTTTACTTTTACACTATTGTTGATATCATGTGCATTTAATTATATGTTCATTCCATTGATCAATTCATGTTTCTATTTTTAGTAAAATAAGGGAAAAATACGTTTTATACGAGAAGTAAGAGTTTTTTTTCCTTTTTTAGCGGACCAACATTGTTTTTCGTTTTAAACGTGTTCTTTTGTTGAAAAAAAGTACGTGTTTAAAACGCGTTTTAAACGGGAAAAGCTAACTATGATACAAATATGTTTACCATCATTTCAAACCTCAAAGGTTGAGTTTACAACATAAATACATACCAAACTAGAAATTTTAGTAAATAAAACAAAACAACATATTCATTACAATCAACAATTATGATCTTGAATCAACAACGTAATTAGCCAGCAAAAAAGTTTATTCATCTCAAAAAGTAACGAGCAGGGCACTCAATTCCGACCATCTGGGCCTCTAATAAGAGACCTAATAGCCTTAGAGCAATCCGTTGAAATAAATAATAATGTTAAATACTTAAATAACTAAAACAAAGTAGTCAATGTAATATATAAATAAATGAATAAATAAATAAATAAATAAATATACATTAAAATATCTACTAATAAGAAAAATATAAAATTTTAGTTATTATATTTAATGGTTCTTTACTGGTTCCAGTACACGTTTTTTTCAGGAATCGAGAAATGAAACCGTTAATAAGAAATAGGAACCAGATCATTAACAAGTACTATGTAACTAATAAATGTTAGAACCGAACCAAGTCATAACGATTCGGTCCGATTCGGTTCTACGATTCTTGGTTCCAAAGTCTCAGCC